TTTTGCAAGCTCTCGGACAAGCACTGAGCATACATTGCTTATTAATATACGTTGGGTAAGGGAAAACCCGTTATATATAATTAACATCTCCCCAACGCAAAAATACATCTTGAAAATCCATTTACAGTCAATCAAATAACACCAGAAACTGTACTGGCCAGAATTTGAAGCTTACAAAATGAAAATTATACTCATCCAACCATCAAATTATGAATTTCAAACTTATCTCTAAAGATAAGCCACAAAAATCTACAGATTCCCAGTAATAGAATGATGATTCACGACAAAGTACCATGTCTGGTAAGTTACAAATTGTACAATTACACTTTTGGTATGAACTTTGCCCTGGCTTGCACTGACTGTCTCGTTTGTGTAGTTAAAGTGCCTTTGTGGATATTTTACACCACATTTACGAGCCTGCCTCCCAGCAAACGTTCAAGTCCTATCAGGCCCCTCATGTGTAAATTCAAGCCAAACAACTAGATTCGGCTTAGCCTTCAGTTTCGCTGGTTTTAGTCATAGCTTGAACATGTGGTTTTGAACCATGCTCCAAAATAGTTGGAACCAGCAAAACCAAAGTCTCAGCCTAATGTACTCATTTCAAAAACACTCGATTGCATCACTTTAAGTTCCCTTTTACGTCAGTGTGCATTTGCACGTTATAAAGGCCCAGTGCCTGACTTTTTGCGTAGCATTGCTAAGCACATGTTTGAGGCTCCAGGTGGTCACATACTCACTGCTAGTTGTACGTCACGTGCAACCTTTCCAAAATAACAACTCGATCAAGGCTTTAATATTTGCCAAAGTTTAAGCTGAAAGTTACCAGTGTCATTAATTTTAACAAAAGCAACAGCAAGGACCAGGGTCTTTGCTTTGTTTTCTTGAACATATGTCTTTAATGACAAATTCAGCTGTCCAGGGACCAAGTACTTGCTCCCGTGATGATTAGCCCAATTTCGAGTCCAGATGTATTATTACCGACTGCATTCCTGGGCATATATGAGTGCTCGTCCCTAGCTAGAGTAATTTGTCAGAAAGGTTGGAGGACTGCCATTAACAATTCATAAGATAATTCATACATAAGACTGCTAGTGTTGTAATTCCATCACTCTGTTATTGGAACTAATTTCAATCAAGCATACATTTCAACAGAAGAAGTTGTGTAATCCACATCCAAAGTTATTCTCAGTATATGTTTATGCTGTAAAATTGTCCTTAGTCGTGCTGTGCATCCACTTATTCAGGCAGGACAAGGGTATTCAAAATGCAGTAACAAAAGAGAATTACATAACTGATCAAATGAGAATCTAAATATCCTTTAAATTGCCTGAGCAAGGCTAGTCGATTAGAAATTTTACTGACACTTTGACACTTACTTTTTGGCCATGTTGTTGTACGATCTGGGTGCATTGTCCCTGTAGCTTGGTGGATGAGTTCCCCAGTCTAAAGCAGTATGGCATCCTCAGGGACAGTGTAGTACAAGCCCCACAGTCTAGTTGGCAGTTGCCACATACTCGTGACCATGTTCAACTAATTTATCGTGACCTTGTTATTTCTAACGATCCACATGACTAAAAGCTTCATTAATCAGCAAAGATTAGTTCCTCTCTCTCAACAAATCCATAAGTCTATGTTGCAAAACTTGAGAACCATCATACAATGAATAGGAATCCTTATCCTTTCAGTATTTTACTTAATTCAATATTTGATATAAAGGAATCATATTTACTTTGAAAGTCTAGTTTTTAATTTCTAATTGTGCAATTGGTGTTTTTAATAATACTATACATACGTGTATGAAGTGCTAATTGAATACAATGTTCTCTTTTTTTATGTAGACAAAATAAAATTGATTTGAAGTACTTTATAATGTAATAGTTATATACATTTTACAGGAGATATTTGAATTTAAAGGGCCTGTGAAATATGGTTCTTATTAGTTAAAATTTAACACTGTACTTTTCTAAATGATAACCAGAATGTAAAAGTTGCTGCTTTGTACATTTTAAATGATATCCAGAATATCAAAAAGTTGCTGCTTTAACCACTTTGCACCGGGTGACCCGGTATCTGGTACCGAAATCAATCAAAGGAGCTGGGTCTTGTAACAAAAGACCTCACTCTGAACAAAATACCAAGCTGCTGGGACTTAAAGAACATTTTTTCAGTTCAGTCAATAGCGGAAGGAATCCATCCTTCTTTGAAACACTGTACCATTATTTGTGGCATTCAATACGAAGGATTACAACCAAGGATGAAAGCTCTCCAGCACTGGAGTGCTGAGTAACACAATATCGCAGCTCACTAACCTGGCCCCATTGAAAAAGACGCCAGCAGCGAATGGCTCCAGTTTCAAAAACAAAAGAAAATTACCCAACACCTCACAATCTGGGATCTCTTAACAAGGAAGCAGGCCTGGCTGAAATACTTGTACACGGGCGTCAATAGATGTTGTCTGTCAGATTAGAGTAGCCATCAGACAGTCATTCGTGTGGGTTTAACCCCATGATGATGGGAATTTCTTTCCGAAAGCCAACTCCAAGAATTCCAGCCTCTCTTGGCCATGAAGGCCACCTGCCAAATTCTCGGTTTGTGGCCCTGCGTGCTCTGCACGCTTGAACTACACGGTGAAAAGGTTGATTGTTCGGTGGCATGCGGCTCTACTCATGCTTCCACATTCCCGTTGCCTCTTTTCAAAGTGGGGACAATTGTGAAGCTGGTGATTATGATGCAAATTCGTTCTTTTCATTCCTGGGTTACACACAAAGGCCAGTTACCATATATACAAGGCGTGTCTTGCCGCGTCCGGGCGTGAAGGGGTTAAACGTTCAGTAAATGAAGTAATGAAATTTTGGAGAACTTTGAAAACGGAAAAATCTTGAAAAACGCCCATATTTGTGGATTTTAATAGAACCCAGTAGCAAGTGGTTAAAAGCTTTTGAAAAATTTTGGGCAAGATTGGAGACTATGCTGGACGGAACAAGGCAGGGACATTGAGGCTTGTAACTTTATTTTCTATTGTGTTTAAATTAATTGATGATGAAAAGAAATTCTCGCTTATGTTATTTTGTAAATGTAAACAGTGTAAGTAGGATGGTTATTCTATTGCAGTAGTTATCACTTTTCCCAATCACAATAAAGATTTCCTTGCTCACCTTCCTGAATTACACTATTTCTGCTGTTGTTTAAGTCTTAATTTTTAACTTGACTCAAAAGATTCTGTTTGTGGTTTAATTGATTTTCCTCTATGATAGCTCAGAAAATCTGTGTGTGCACTGTGTGCAAGCGGAGGTGGAGTCTCTATTATCACGGTATCGAGAAATGATTTTTACGATGGCCCTTAAAGCACGTTATTTGCAAATAAAGATAAGCAGAATTATTAAGTTTTCAGAGGAAACAGAATAACCTCATTTTGTGTCAATGTTCCATTTTACCTGAAATTGACTTTATTTTTCCGGTCTCCTCTTCTAAGATACCAAACACCGAGAGAACGAAATGCGAACGATTGCATTGTGTCACATTACACTTTTAATCCCACAAGAAATGACTTCATCTGTTTCTCTAGAATGTTTTTACCCCGATCTTAAATGCAGTAACAACTTTGACATTCATCTTTGGACTTACATTGTTTCTACGGAAGGAACATTTTCATTTTCTCGGTGTTTGTACGGAAGGAATATTTTCATTTTCTCAGTGGACTCGTCCTTTTATAGATGTCTGAAGCGATTGTTAAAAATGTTTGCTTTCTGAGTTCTAATTCCCCAAAAGAATAACCATCTCATTAGACCTGAACTATTTCATTCAAAAGTAAAGTTAGAAATTCTATATATATCCCTTGCAAAATTCCCCAAGTTGTATAAGAAAAGAAAAAAAAGGAGACATTAATGCTGACATAATTGTTAGCTATTAATTGCCCCGCAGGGTGAAAGTACACTTGATACAAGTCTATTGCAGTGGAGATGAAAGGCATGCTTTATGCAC